CTGATTTATTCGTGTACGCACCAGACGGAAAAACAAAAAATATCGTGTATCCACAAGCACTCCAATAAATAAATAGAATTGAAACGACACTTTGAAATGTTTTCCCGATGAAAATGAATAATAATAATAATAATAATATAATAATAATAAGTTTCAATAAAAATGATAAATTGTAAATTGAATTTTATTATAGTGAGTTTGCTTGAATTTCGTTTCTTCTGAAATCGAAGCAATGTGCGACAGGTAAGCTAGTAATCTATAATAATAATTGAAAAATATTTCCATGTATATTCATTACAATACTTAAAAGTTTTTACTTTATAATATAATCCACAAGAAAAATACTTTAAAGTAATTTACTAAATTTGCCATAAATACTATTACTCACACTTTATTTAAATATAGAAACACAAATTAAATTAATCCTATCTTAAAACTATGATCTGTTTTATTTTTACAAAATTCTATATAAATAAATATGATAAATTTAGGTTTATATCTCACAAGTATTTCTGGATTAATTAATTATAAATTTAGATTGGAAAGAAAAGTAACATTGACATATCAGAGTTTGGTTATGTACTCTAATACAAAGTAATAAAGTACACTTATGTACACACAAAAAGAGAAAAAACATATACAGCAGAATCTGCTTATGATAAATACTTTTACACTTGCTTATACTGACAATGTTACCCTGCTTAATGTTATCAGTTGCTTCCGTAATTGAAACTATAATTAGTGAAAAAATTTTTTTTATTAATTCCAACATTAAAAGGCCATATTAAAACAAAAATATAATTTGAAGATTTATAAATTAATAGTAATTCAACTATTAATAGAATAGAACTAGATATTAGTATAATGTATCCAGTATAAATGAAGTGACAAATGCAAACAATTTAAATTACTGTACTGTAAGCAATAATTATTGAATGATTAACCCATTTACTGGCACAAATGAGAATTTAAATTGTGCCTGCTATTTTTGGCAATACTGATTCTCCCAAGAATATTTTGTACTTGATAACCTTGGTTAAACCTAATTAACCTGCCACAAGGCTTTACCAAGCAAGTACTGTACCAAATCTGTCCGTATAAGGGTTAAATGTAGAGTGTATGCAGTGGTGATATTCGAAATATTTAACAAAGGGTTCGCTAACAGAAAATTTTTCCTTAACAATTTTTTTTTGCTCAAATGGTGCATTAACAACATTAGTGCAAAAACTGACCTTAATTAAGATACCCCTATAAATAAAAAAGATGCATTCGCAAAATTAAGTCGGTTAAAATTTAACATTTTTTATGCCAGAACTATACATATATATAATAAAAAAGAGTGTTCAAAATGGTTTATTTTGTACAACGGTTCCCAACCTTTTTCGGGTGGCGACCCCCTTTTTATAAAAGCCAAGTGACCCGCGACCCCGATACAATTGAAAAAGGTATTTTTAATAAGGTAATTAAAAAACAATAAAATTAGTTTTTTAGTATAATTTTATTTTAAATTATGTTTAATAATTAATTTAATGAGATGGTTGAAATTGCATGTATTATTAACCAGCCTCAAAATTTGCGGGTGAGATTTTGTTAACGCCAACCTCATGTCATTCTCAACATTTAATTTATTCCTCTCAAAACTCTCAACACATGTTTCAACCAACTGTGACAGAATAGCGNAGCGGATAACCAAAAAGTATGAAAAAATCCATTATTAGGTGTAGTATATTATTATATCCCATGTAATTAGTATATTAGTATATCGCTATTAACCTACTTTGTGTTGAATTTTCATCGATGTTAAGCCTAACAAAATTTTTTTAAATAATAATCGTCGCTATTTTATCGTTAAAAATTAGAAAATTAAGCCTCGTTTAAATACTGGCTTCCTTTCATGGTTGAATGAGTGTTGCCAGCTAAAACACGTAAAAATAATATTAAAGTAGCCAAGACATAGCCAAATAATGTAGCGCCACATCACTAGTGGACATTTGAAATTTACTGACTAGGACGGTCGGTTAATTGGGGGTCGGATAATCGAGGCTCTACTGTATTTTATTATGACACGTGTTCCGCAGCCATCTTGGATTTTCTCGCGTGCGTGGGATTGTGGGATCTCTCTTATGCTGGATCTAGTTTCAAGAACTCTTGAGTCGACTGCGGTTGAACCTCGTTTCAGTCGAGATTGAAACGGTCAAGGGAGGTCGCACCAAGGCGAACGGGGTATAAGGCTCTAGTTTAGTAGTGTTACAGAGTATAATATGTATATTTTAATATATTTTTTAAAAGAAGCAAAACCANAACTACATAGTGCTGTCTTTATTGTGTTTAAAGTCACTTAGATTTTACAAATAGGTAAGCCGTTCACAGCCCGGCACACGCATTTGTAAAATCTAAGTGACTCATACAACATGGAATTCATATAAAACGGAATAATCAACAGTGTTATAGGGGGGTCGACTGTAGTAATTAATTTATTTTTATTTATTTATTTATTTCATATTTGCAGACTAAAAATTTACAGGTCACAAGGTGTCAATTAACTACTATGGCCCGCGGAAAAAACGTACAATTTATTCTGGCCCATGTTATAAAAAAGGTTGCCCACCCTTGCTCTAGCAGACTGCTTTGGCTGGCCTCACCCAATTGAGGCTTTTGCCCCTCTTCTGGCATCTTGTCTGCAATACCCCTGGCAGGATGACCAGCCATTTACCCTTTTGGATGTCCACCACGCCCTTAGACATCTTTGTAATGCCATGCCTGCCCAGACTGTGTCAGCACTCAGGCATTAAAGGCTCTCTGCCAGAGGGACATCACCTCTTACTTACTCGGCTAACCAAGATCTGGTCAATGGGAACCCCCCTTAGACTGGACGATGGCCATCATAGTCCCAATTGCCAAACTGGGTCGCCCAGCGACGACATGCTCCTCTTACCATCTGATTTCACTGACATCACACATCATTAAAACTTTCAAGCATCTCATACTCCAATGCCTCCACTCTTGTTTTCTGCACTGAACTGTTTCACCACTATCACTTTTGTTTCTTCCTATAAAAAGGAGTAGAAGACACACTAGTGGCAATTTATACACTACTTTTGTACTGAATAAAAAAATAAATATCAAACTGGAATTAGGTATTAAACTTATAAAAATGATAATAATGAAAGAAATTTTAATTTCAAAACTAATATATTAGAAAACTAGCAGACCTTGCCACGTGTTGTTGTGGCTCAAAATGTATCTATTATAAACGTATGACACTTCTCCCACAGGGAAATTTTTTGAAAAATCCCTTCTTAGTGTACATTCTCTTGACGTACCTTATTAAAATGCAATCAAAAATGCAAAAAACTGCACTTAAAATAGTATAAATAGAAGCAGTGTTCTTCACGGTAAGCCTTAATCCTGTCCATCTCCCCCAAGTGGGGGGGGGAATTTCAACATGTATATTATATAAAAACACGTGCGTATTCAAATGCAACGTTGTGTCAAAATTTCAAAGGAATCAGTAGGAACAAACAAACGTCACATTTTTATTTATATAGATAGATAGATCTGCTTTACTTCATCCTCACAGAAAAGCAAACTTAGGTCGTCATACTCGCGGAATTAGCACCATTTGTTGAACGTAAAAGCCTTAATCCTAGATGGCATCTTTTAATTTATATGAATGTTTAATGGAATAATATACAGCCTATGTACCCTGAATATACCCTAATATACCCTGAAGTTCCATTCTAAATATTGGTGAAAGAATTTTTGAAATCGGATGAGTAGTTTCAGAGATTACCTCCTACATCCAAACTTTATCTCTTTATAATAGTATAGATGTGTAAATTAAGAAACTATCAATGTTTTAACAGCTGTAAAATTATACAATCTTTATAATTATGTTTAACTAACAATATTTCATGTAACTTGAATCCAGTATCATCTCCAAATGTCTGATGTATATTGCATAAATTGTATAGAATACACACTAATTAAAACACTTCATTATATATTTAAAAACCACTCAGTTTTATTGATGATGTATATAAATAATTATTAATAAAATGGTAAAAAAACATTAAAAAGTATCCATGATAANTAAATTCAAGCATCATTTGTAAACGTCACAGTATTATCGCTGAGATGGAAACAATGTTAAAATTATGGCGTAATAATCAAGTAAATGTGAAAAATTGTAAAATAATAAGCCTAATTTGTTATACATATGTATTATCTAAGATTTTATTAAACATTTTTTTCTAAATTATTGTTTTCTTTAGTCTCTTGCCCGAATTAAAAATTATTTGTATGTATTTATATGCAAAATTACACCCCGACTTATGCGAATTCGACTTACACGGTTACCGCTCGGTCCCACCTATCGCGTAAGTTCGGGGTATTACTGTATAGGGACACACACGCCCATTTTTATATATATATATAGATGTCCTTGAGAATATTAAAAATACTAGGCTATTTGTAAATTTATTATAAAATATGTTTATAATAAATTTCTGTGACCTCAAAGATATATACTTTTTAGTATAAACTATATTGTATTTTATTGTATACAAGTTTATTTCTGAAAAATAATGTAGTAAGGGCATCTGTACAGAGGAGCCAACTTTCTTCTTTACTTTTTTCAAATAATTTTAAACAGTAATGGTATTTTTTTAGAGTAAATTCATTTTTATAGTTAATACATTGAAATACAGTCTGCATATGACAGATAATATTTCAATTTCTCAATATCAAATATGCAGCAGTTTTATTTGGAAGACACTACATTTTTTAGGGTAGGAGTTTTTTTGCTTGTTTTTCATGTGTTGTTATTACTCACTCTCATAAGGATAAATGAAATAATCTAAGGAGAAGCAAACCCATTTAAGGAACATGCTTTTAGTAAACAATCATACTTTTCTGTTAGCAATAGAGTCGTGCAGTTCATCTACCTAACTCCTTTCAGGGGAAAATTTTGAATTCAAATAATGTAACTTCCAGTTTGCACTGGAAGTTCATATATAGTTAATTGGGCCTCCTCCCCTAATCTTTCCATATCTATCTAACTCCATTCTCAAGATTAAGGAAAGACAGACAGTGGATAACAGTGGGAATATTAGGAGGAGGAGGACCTGATTAACTATATATTATATTTTATTATATTTGTAAATTTATTATAAACATATTTTATAATAAATTTACAAATAGCCTAGTATTTTTAATATTCTCAAGGACATTACATAATAAAATTAATAATAACAAGCAATTATTTATTGTGACATTGTCATAATGACATGCTACAATTTTAATCATATTTTTAATTTAAAATTTATGCTCTTCACCTCAAATTAGTAGTGTCTTGCCTCTGTAATCATACTTTTCTGTTAGCAATAGAGTCGTGCAGTTCATCTATCTAACTCCTTTCAGGGGAAAATTTTGAATTCAAATAATGTAACTTCCATTTTGCACTGGAAATTCATATATAGTTAATCAGGGCCTCCTCCCCCTAATCTTTCCATATCTATCTAACTCCATTCTCAAGATTAAGGAAAGACAGACAGTGGATGACAGTGGGAATTTATAGGTTACAATTTTTTCAAATTGCAGCCCAATGATATTAAGAGGTTATAAAAATTGTTTATAGGTCATCAACTGGACAATGATGTTTGGCTTATAAAATGAAAAACAGTATGTTTTTTTTTATGGTGTTTATTTTACAAAGGCAAATACTTTAGCTAAGAATAAAACTGTTATTTAACATTATTAAAAACTAGCATTGTTTTTATAAAATATTAAAATTTTTCAACTGTACTTTTAACTTTAGAAAGATAATTATATATACTTTATATATATATATAGATGCTTATCTTTCTAAAAGTAAAAATATATTTTATTCAATTAAAAAGTTTAAATAAAAATGATAGATCATTGATACTTCTAGGATTATTCCAGAAGAGGATCATTGCAATCTTATTTTACCCTTTTTTAGTTGAGAAAATTGTTAATTTATGCTAGTTTAATGAAAAAGAAACATCATCATGAACAATTTTTATTTACATGTTCAAGCTCTTATCACTAGGAGCCAAGTAAGGCTATTTGATCTGTTTCACATCTATGGGGATCTCAAAAATAATTATTATGCATTATTCCATTGAATTTTTTGAATATTAGGAAATAAATACGTTTTATCAAATTTTTTTTATTTAAAAAATATAATAAAACTTTTAATGTTTTTTTTAATGTACTGGGACTTCAACATTACCATGTTGAAGTCCCAGTACATTAATCGCTTCAGTTCCCAGCAATTTTTGATATTAATGTAATTAAACGTAAAAAAATACTTAAAACTGAAAAAAAACGAAAGAAATGCATTAATTTTAAAGAAAAGGCTTTAAACTTTATTTTCCATTGTTCCGCCTTACTGCGAAATTTGACACCAATGAGTCATTGTGTTTACAGCTGGATGACCTTGAGAACAGCTGGTGTTGGATTTCCTGGGACATTCTCATAGAAGTCTCAAGAGGCGATGGGTTTATAGTAGGGTGAATACTAGTTGACCGTATATTTTACAATATTTTTAAATAATTAAAATTTTTATTGTGATTTCCGACCCCCCCTCCGATTTAATTAAANTCAAAATTAAAATTGCTCTTTTAAAATTATACCTCTTTATAGTCTCCATATTTATTTTTAATATCTTCTATTGCTGACAATAAATTCTGACGTTCTTTATATACAGTTTGTGTTAAATTTTCAATATCTTCTGTCTGTTCTGCCAAAATCTGTTCCAATTCTTTTTTATGCTCTTCTTTTACAACATGTAAATGATCCATTAAATCTGTTTCTGGGTTTCCAGATGGTCTCCTAGTATGAGGTAAAAATAATTTGATTTTCATGACATTTTCATTTTAAATTCATTAACATTGATAAAAATTACATATTTTATATAATTTCAAAAATAAATCAATTACATTTTAATTTATGTTAACTCAATTCATAATTTAAATTTACAGCTTACTAAACTTAGCCTAAAACAGCTCTTACTTTTGTTTATGTGTTATATCCTCTATAAGCTGAATTCAAAGTGCCTGCGAGATTTCTCTGGTTATTCAAAAAATCCAGTTACGACTGATCAAAATAAACTTTATTTCAAGCACATGGAATTTGGCTTATAGGAGATATAACACATTAATATTAATGTTCCCCATAGAAGAGTTTAGCTCTTACTTTTATCAAAACATACATTAATTTATAACGAGCAATTATTTATTGTGACATTGTCACAACACTGGGCTGCAACTTTTAATCATATTTTTAATTAATTTAATTTAAAATATATGCTCTCCACCTCAAATTAGTAGTGGCTTGCCCCTGTACATCATACTTTTCCTTTAACAAGAGAGTTGTGCCTATCATTAACTGTTTTTGGGGAAAAATTTTTGAATTGAAATAACATGACTTCCAGTTTGCATCAAAAGTTCATATATATTTAAATCAGGGCCTCCTGCCCCTAAGGTTTCCATATCTGGTCTTGGCTTTCATCTATCTAACTCTGTTCTTGAGATTAAAGAAAGACAGATGGGCAACAGTGGGATTTTATAGGTCTACAATTTTTTCAAACTGCAGCCCAATCCCCAGCAAAGTACTGTACATCAGAAAATATTTTTAATTAATACAAAAACTTTGTTATTAAAAATAAAGTAATATAGCTTAATCAATTCTAATAAAATTTTATATCTTTTGTTATTGTATGTAGTAGTAATTACTATTAATAGGAAATCCTCATTAATTCAAACTTGGATAGTTTGAAATCCTGTTAGTTCATAACTGTACTATTTGGTCCAACTGGGGATTAGAGATTTATTTGTTAAGGAATTTGCTACTTTGAAATTCAAAATGAAAATTCTGTCTTAACTGTGATATTAGTATATTAACTTGTATCAAAGTTAATGTGCCTCCAAGAGAATAATAGACCACAAACAACTCTAATCTGATCAACATGGCTTTGCTTTTACAACAACACATTTCCAGGTAGAATCTTACTCACCGACTATTCTTCTTTTCTTCTATCATAAATCACAGCTGGGTTTCAGGAAATATTGAATATTTGTCGGGCTCTACATTCCTAGATATGAGTGACTTTCTATTTTTTGGGCTATATTTTGAAAATTGTGCTTTACTTTTTATTATCAGTGTAAATATGATACACTTTGGGGTATATTTTAAAAAATAAAATTTTAAGTTTATATTTCTTACAAGTAAAAATAAAATACATCCCCAATGTATCAGACCTATACTACTACTCAACATATTTCAACCACATTATGTCTTCTTCATCTATATATATAAAAATGAATGTATGTCTGTCTGCCTGTATGTCCTTCATGCATTACCACACTGTTTATCCAATTGCCATGAAACTTTGGAAAGTTGTTTAATACACTCCCACAAAGATTTCTGGAACAGTACAATTTGTCGGTACTCTCGACACAAACCAATTTGACCCACTAGAGGGACCTTCCCAATAACCAAATAAAACGTTTCATGACCCTTTGTCTTCACTTGTTCCTTTGTTCAGACTACTATCTGTCGACACATATGGACGTTCGTCCTACTGTTATGTAAAGACTCATTTGTACATTAATTACTTGATTAAACGAAGATACCTTAACCAGTACAATGTGTTTCGCCTGAGTCTCTCTCCGCTGATTCTGGATTAACGACACAATTATCCTATGATAGATGGCGCAAGTGTATACAAACATTTCATCGTGAATTCAATTGATTTCAAATTGTGAAGACCATTTCCCCCTCCAAAAAATCTCTCTATATATGCATTTGTGAACTGTTATTTACGATATTTGTAATAATTTTTGTTTAATCACTTTATTCCAACTATTTTTTGCTAATTATGTATTCGCTCAAACTTTGTTAAAACCTTAACTGTATCCTGAACAACAACCAAAGTTGTAGAAGGAAATTCGCCTATTTTACTGATCTAGGGATCCCTCTTTTTCCAAATTTTAATATCAACTCAAAATAATTTAAAAAGACAAATTACGATAAAACAGTTTATTATCCAACTATCAGAAATGTCACAACATGTCAAGGAAGAGAGGAAGGAGCAATTAAATAATTAAAATTGTAAAGGATTAAAAAAAATATACATAAAAATGAGGAATATCGCACTTCTGACAATCGCTGCAAGCTTGTAGGCTAGATTTGGAGAATCTGTGCTTCTCACATGGACAACTGTATGTGGTCAGCTCACACATCGGAAAACCTTCCGATTTATTCGCGTACGCACCAACGGAAAACAAAAAATATCGTGTATCCACAAGCACTCCAATAAATAAATAGAATTGAAACGACACTTTGAAATGTTTTTCTGATGAAAATTAATAATAATAATAAGTTTCAATAAAAATGATAAAATGTAAATTGAATTTTATCATAACGAGTTTGCTTGAATTTC